AAATTAAAGAAAGAAAGAGGGAGAGAAGAAATAAACAAAAAGAAGGAGAGAGAGAGAGTGAAAAAAGAAAAGTTAAAAAAATGTGAGAGAAGAAATAAACAAAAAGAGAGATAGAGAAAGAAAAAAAGAAAGCGGGAAAAACAAAAACAAAAAACAAATGAGAGTGAGAGAGAGAGAGAGAGAGAGAGAGAGGGGGAAGAGATAGAGAGAAAAATAAATAAACAGAAAGAGAGAGAAAAACAGAGACAGTGAAAGAGAGAGGGAAAAATAAACTAAAAGAAAGAGAGCGAGTAAAAAAAAAAGAAAGCGAGGGAAAGAAAAATTAAAAGAACGAGAGAAAAAAGACAAAATAAATAAAGAGGTAGATAGATAGATAGATAGATAGATAGATAGAGAGAGAGAGAGAGAGAGAGAGAGAGAGAGAGGGAAAGAGAGAGAGAACCAACCATTCAGATTTGCGACTAATCGTATTTGCTACAGTTTATAATATTTTACAAGGAGTTTTGGTCTATTTCTAGGTTATACATCGAGTTTGAAGGTAGGAAAAATATCTGATCTTTTGATACGAAAAGTCTTGACATAATGTGAATGTGGGATGAGTAAAAACTGTAGAAAGTGTTTAGAAGCACCAGACATGAACATGTTTACATAAAGTGCATGGATATTCAAACCCTAGCACCATGCTGAGCCTGCTGGGTCGCCTCTACCCCAAGAAGAAATCAGATTACAAAGGCTGGACTGAGAGTCGCTTTGCGTTAGAAAGATTTACTGACAGATATATGTGACATATTCCTTCTTATTTTTAGAAGAAAACGATGTTGTCCTCTTGGTTTAGACTATAGATACAATATTGTCTAAGATTTGGTCAAATTAGAGATTTTAAAAAAAATCTGTGTGTCGTTCGGTCGACATCATAAATTATTGGTACTTGAAAACAAATCCCGTTTTCCAGTTGTCGAAGAAAAATCTTTAAGGATTTCTCTTCCATGTTGGTTTACATCTCATGACACTGTCTCTCTCTCTCTCTCTCTCTTTTTCTCTTTAATACGTGATTTGATGACGGAATCTCTTCAGAGTAATGAGGGCACCACTTGTCCCACTCATTCAACTATTAAACAAATTATCTGAAGGCCAAAGAGAAGAAAACCAAAAAAATATTTGAGTATATGATAAAAGTATTTTCACTTTTAATAGATTTTTACTCCAAAGCTATTTCAGGTGTTTTTATTTATTTATTTATCTATCTATTTATTTATTTTTTTACAGTAAGGTTCACCCTGTACAATGAGTGTACAAGATGGCTGGGCTCCGTCAGTGTATCTTGACCAACTGTTTGTGGTAAACAAAAAATACTTTTGATCCGTAATAATAATAATAATAATAATAATAATAATGATTATAATAATTTAGTAAAGCAATAATAATAATAATAATAATAATAATTTAGTTAATGTTAAAATGTCGCTAATCAAAATCAAACACCGAAGCAACCAACATGAAATAATTCTTTCATGACATTAATGCATATAATATCCTAAAATTTCTTAAAGAGATCAAATTATATTCCAAAATATAACTTCAACAAAACTACAACATAAAATAAACTCATAACCGCCTCTAGTAATTATATCCATACAAACATGTATATGCACAAAAGCTGAGTATTGTCTACCATGTATTCAATTGTGAAAGCAGAATAACGTATATCATATTTATATTACTTGAAAGCCCTCCAAGAAAAGTAAATTTTGGCATTAAATGACCGTTAAACAAAAACAAACCAACCGAAAACTAAATATTTTGTACGCAGTTTTATTTTATTATTTTGGGGGAGATAATCAGGGTTTTAGCAAAACAAGTATTACTAATTAACCCATAGCTGGGGGAGAGTAAAGATGGATTCATAACTCTCCCAAAGGTACTTGCGGTAGTGGGGGAGTCAGCAAAAGTGCGTTCTTGTGTATTCATTATTAATAGGCTTCTGAAAGAGAGTGAAAATAAAATTATAAAAAATATAACAATTTCTTTTTTTATGTACCGTGTCATTTCAGGACGTAGGCGATCATGGCTCTCTACTTCTTCCTATCCATTGTTGCTTTCTTAAAGTTTCGTGCCTCTGCCATCTCCCCCAGACCACATTCTGTCATCCACTTGCTTAAGCATGCCAGGTGTGTCACGCGTTGCTTTCCCTTGTCTCTTTTTACCTCTATTCGACCTGTGAGTATCAGATTCTCCAAGCCCTCCTTTCTTATTACGTGTCCAAGAAACTTCAGCTGCCTCTTCCTGATGTTAGGTATAAGCATCCTCCTTGTCTGTATCCTTTCCAAAACCTCATCGTTGCTCACACGATCGGTCCATGATATCCTTAGTATTCTTCTGTAGAATCACATCTCCGCTGCCTCGAGACTCTTCTTCATCTTTGAGGAGACCGTTCAACATTCCCTGTCGTATAGGTCGACAAATGTTACGTAGCAGCTTAGTACTCTTTTCTTTGTTACCAAAGAAATCATCCTGTCTCGCAATACTCTGACCAGCTCAGTACTCTTTTCTTTGTTACCAAAGAAATCATCCTGTCTCGCAATACTCTGACCAGCTCAGTACTCTTTTCTTTGTCGCCAAAGAAATCATCCTCTCTTGCAATACTCTGACCAGCTCAGTACTCTTTTCTTTGTCGCCAAAGAAATCCTCCTCTCTTGCAATACTCTGACCAGCTCAGTACTCTTTTCTTTGTCGCCAAAGAAATCCTCCCCTCTTGCAATACTCTGACCAGCTCAGTACTCTTTTCTTTGTCGCCAAAGAAATCCTCCCCTCTTTACTCTGACCAGCTCAGTTCTTTTCTTTGTCACCAAAGAAATCCTCCTCTCTGCAATACTCTGACCAGCTCAGTACTCTTTTCTTTGTCGCCAAAGAATTCCTCCTCTCTTGCAATACTCTGACCAGCTCCGTACTCTTTTCTTTGTCACCAAAGAATTCCTCCTCTCTTGCAATACTCTGACCAGCTCAGTACTCTTTTCTTTGTCACCAAAGAATTCCTCCTCTCTTGCAATACTCTGACCAGCTCAGTACTCTTTTCTTTGTCGCCAAAGAAATCCTCCTCTCTCGCAATACTCTGACCAGCTCTGTTCAGCATCTGGCATGCATCCTTGGCCATCCCAATCCGTCTTCGGATCTCAGCGTAGCACCTACCGTCCTCCGGCAAAACACTTTCTAGATATTTAAGCTTTCACATATGCTTGATTTTAGTGTCCTCGATCTGAAAATCGCATTGCACATTCACTGAATTCATTTTGTAGCCGTATGTAGATGTTTTTTTATTCCAGTCTATATTCTGGATTATTCTCATACTCCCCAAATATATCAAACTCACCCTAGCAGTTCCAATATTTATTTATGAAGTATTCTGTGAAATGATTTTGCATAATCTATGAATCATAGGTGCACATCCTTTTGTATTTGTGATGCACTTTCTCATTACATATGCCAAAAACTTACCTCTTCCTGATGTTAAGTATAAGACTCCTCCTTGTTTGTATCCTTTCCAGGGCCTCATCGTTGCTCATAGACTCGGTCCATGATATTCTCAACATCCTTCTGTAGAACCCCCATCACAGTCGCCTCGAGTCTATTCTTCATCGTAAAGGAGGAGAGATGTCACATAACAGCCCTCAGTACTCTTTTCTTTGTTACCAAAGTGATCCTCTTGTATTGCAATATCCCGCCCACCTTTTGGAGGGCGTCTTTGGCTATCCAAATATGTCTACGCATCTCAGTATCGTATTGCCGTCCTCTTTCAAAATACTTCCCAGATATTTAAATTTCCTCACCTGCTCGAATTTAGTGTCCCCGTCCTTGTAAGACACATTTTGAGCTCATTTTTTTACTGTTGACAATGCATTCTGTCTATTTATAGTTTATGCTTCTCGCTTTCCTTCGCTACCTTCTCTAGGAGGTTTTGTAATTTCTTTTCCGTGTCTGCTATCAGTACTGTTTGTATATTCACTGAATTTATTTTTTAACCGTATGTAGATTTTTTTTTTTGCAGTCTATATTCTGGATTATTTTCATACTCCCGAAATATATAAAACTTACCTAGCAGTTCCAGTATTTATTTGTGATGTATTCTGTGAAATACTTTTGCATAATCTATGAATCATAGCTGCGCATCCTTGAACTTCTGTTTGATTTTAGTGTCCCTGGCCTGCAAATTGCATTTCAGGCTCATTCTTTTACTGATGACCGTGTATTCTGCCTTCTTGTTGTTTAAATATGACAATTATAAAGTTATAAAGAAAATTAGAAATTTATACACTTCTAAAATTCAATATAATGAACAGAAAGACAAATTTTTTTTTTTGAAAATTGTCCGATTTCACTGATAAAGAGAGTTTATTCTAGGACAGCCATTATTTGAGGATAGGGTTTTCGATCGTATTCAGACTTGGAATACACCTGGACACATCATGATTGATGTTTTCAGGAATCATTACACCCTTGTGTAAATTGAGTTCATGCCTGTCACCTACACCCTGGTGCAAATTAATTGAAATAAAACGAATAATTCCGTTATTATTTACTTATTTTCGTATTTTTCCAATGAAACATGACCCAGTGCACATGTTAGTACTTCGTATGTCCATTCCACGAAGTTGTTCCTTGTATATTAACCACAGATTCTCGATTGGATTTAAATCAGGAGAGTTTCCTGGCCAGTCTATAGTCCTTTGATTTTCTTACTGGTAAGGCTTGCCAGTGTGTTCGTGTAGCATTACAAATTTTCGTTCGCATACCTGGAGTAACGTCCATCGCAGACAATAGCCGTGGAAAACTAATCGACAGTCGAGACAATAGTGTCTGGGCGGGATAAAAATCTGATGTA